GCCAAAAAGTGAGCACTCTTTGTTAAACGATCCACTATAACCCAGATGGAGTCGTGATTCTTGACTGTACGCTGTAGATGGGTCACGAAGTCCATTGAGATACTGTCCCACTTCCATTCTGGAATCTCTAACTGTTGTAGTAGACCGCCCGGCCTTTGGTGCTCAGCTTTTGCACGTTGACAAGTTAAACATGATGCCACAAAACGTGCGACATCACCCTTCATTCCTGGCCACCAGAATGATTCCCTGAGGTCTTGATACATCTTAGTCATGCCAGGGTGCATGCTAAGACTGCTGTGGTGCCCTTCCTCCAGGATAATTCTCTTCAGATCTCCATCGTTTGGAACGCACGTCCTACCCATATAGCGTAATAGGCCGTTCGTTCCAGCGTTGAATTCCTTTGCTTGATCTGTACCGAGCGCGCCTCTTATCTTCATCAATTCTTCATCTGTTAGTTGTTTCATTCTTATCCGGTCAAATACGTCACTTGATATCCTAAGGTTACAGCATTTGATGTTGTTCGGTTCTAAATTAAACTGTAACCTTAGGTCTCTAAAACTCTCCACCAAGCTTAATTCTCGTACCATTATGGACGAGACATGAACCACCTTCCTGCTCAACGCATCTGCTACAACGTTCGCTTTCCCCGGATGGTAGAGTAACTCAAAATCGTAGTCTTTTAGGAACTCCAGCCAACGCCTCTGCCTCATGTTTAATTCTTTTTTATCAAAGAGGTATTTGAGACTCTTATGATCGCTGAAGACTTGGAACGTAGATCCATACAGGTAGTGTCTCCAAATCTTCAGAGCAAAGACGACCGCTGCCAACTCCAGGTCGTGTGTCGGATAATTCCTCTCGTGAATCTTCAGCTGACGAGAAGCGTACGCGATAGCCCTCTTATCTTGCATAAGAACTCATCCCAACCCTTGATGAGACGCATCACAATATACTTCAAAGGGTCTGGCCGTGTCAGGGATGATTAACATTGGGGCGCTCGTCAACTTCTTCTTCAACTCCTGGAAGCTCGCTTCACACCGATCAGTCCAAGCGAACGGTTGATCTTTGCGTGTAAGCTGCGTCATCGGTGCTACTATCTTAGAAAATCCTTCGATGAAGCGTCTATAGTAGCCAGCGAGACCCACAAAACTCCTGACTTCCGAGACCGAACGCGGACTTTCCCATTCTAACACCGCTCGCACTTTGGCCGGATCGACTGAGATTCCTCCAGCGGAGACTACGTGTCCCAAGAACTGTATCTCCTTCATCTAGAATTCGCACTTGGACAACTTAGCATACAGCTCCTTCTCCCTCAAGACTCCAAGCACCATCTTCAAATGTTCTTCATGTTCTTCATGGCTCTTGGAGTAGATGAGGATGTCGTCAATGAACACCACCACGAACTTATCCAAATACGGCCTGAAAATGCGGTTCATGTAATCCATGAATATGGATGGGGCGTTCGTCACACCAAACGGCATCACTACATACTTGTAGTGTCCGTAACGAGATCTAAAGGCCGTCTTCTGAATATCTCCTTCTTTAACCCGAATCTGGTGGTAGCCTGATCTCAGGTCTATCTTAGAGAACACGTTCGCCCCATGCAACTGATCCAGCAAATCATCAATCCGTGGTAGGGGATACTTGTTCTTGATGGTCAGCTTATTCAGTTGTCTATAATCAATGCAGAGCCGAGAGCTGCCATCTTTCTTCTTTACCAATAACACAGGCGCTCCCCACGGTGAGATGCTTGGTCTAATAAATCTCTTGTCCATCAGATCTTCAATTTGTTGTTTGAGTTCGGCCAACTCAGCTGGTGCCATTCGATATGGTTGAACAGAGATGGGTGCTGCTGTCGTCACCAAATCAATAGTGAATTCAACTTCACGAACGGGAGGCAATCCAGGTACTTCATCCGGAAAGACGTCCGGGAATTCGTCCACAACCGATCGTCCTCCACTGGACTCGTTGTTGGACGATCGTTCAAAACTCCTATCTCCAACCTCCCTGTCTTCGTGTGTCATTATCAGAAAGCAGCTGGCGCCCTCCATGATGTCTTCTTTCAGCTGCCCGAGCGTCACAGACAAATCTTCTTCATCTTCCTCAGGAAAGATCAATTCCTTAGCACCACAGTCTATGAGAATGTGATTGGTAGTCAGCCAATCCATTCCTAAAATCACTTCTAGCTCCTTGAGAGGTAAACATATAAGGTTCACCTTATACCTACGCCCTTCTACCTCAATAGGAC